AGGCACTTTTCCTGTTTTCCTGGCAGGATTATTTTGTGTTTCAGTAAAACTGACTTTTCACAGGGAATATTTAAACTTTTGAAGTGTAATGTATTTCCCATCTGAAAACCATGCCATCAGAAACATTCCCAGCTAACTTCTAATCTACACAACCAGCAGGAGCAATTAGCTCTGCCTGATAGCAGAGCTATTAAATAACCTTGGCATCAAGGTTACAGCAATTCAATGGCCAGGCTAGACAAAGATTGCTTCAGGGCATTCCCTCATGGCAGAAACAGCTCCTGAAAAAATCCTGCCTCAATTTTCCTTTCCCAAAGTCTACTTAAATTGAGTTATAACTAAATTATTCAGCTTTCTTCCTTTTTTGGGGGGGGGAGGGGGGCGGGGGGGGGACGGGACAGTTGGAAGGGTAGGGGAGCATTGAGGTCTCTGCTGATCTCTTGACTGGTTGCTGTTATTAAGCTTCCAGTCCTGACTCTCTTCATTTAGGATCTCCACCTCCTATTCCCCTTCAGCTGCAATCAGCAGGCTTTTGTCCTAGCTTGGGGAGTCTGTGTTAGCCCAGTGACTTGACTCATCACTCCCAATTCTGAGGCTGATAACAAAGACATATCTTCATTCCAGATGAGAGAAGGAGAAACCTTACAATGCAAGATTCTTCATCCCAGGCCCTTAAGGGCCCTACATTCTAACTTGACCCTGACATTAATAACTCCCAAGACACCCTTCTCTTTAGTCATGGCTACATCAAATATTTATAATCATATTTCCTTAGACACGTGAGCAACTGATCCTGCAAAAAATTCCTTCTGGCCTTAAAGGGCCAGTGTTCTGCTGCAGAGGACAAAAGATTAAAACATGTTCCTTAGGTAATCTCTATAAAATCATACAATGAAAAATAACAAAAAAATCCAAAGCATGTACAACAAGGCTTAGCAATTCAGCTGATAAATGAAAAAGAGATAAAAGTCACACCAGAAACAAGAAAAATCTTCCAATGTGTTTCTAGAAGGAAGGAATTGAGTCAGGATATCACTGAGACTATCCCACAGTTTTAATTTGCAGGGACAGCTGAGATGTCATGGAAACTGCATCATAAAGGGGGAGCTGATTAAATAAATAATACCAGTAAAGGCTGAGCTGATATTCACCCACAAATTCGAGGGAATCTGCAGATGCAATGACTGAGCTGCCTAGAAAATACTAAAGTCAGGCATTCAAAGCAAGAACTGGACTTAACAGTGAGGATGACAGGCTGAAGAGCCCTCCTGCACTGCCAAGGCACTGTCACAACATGAAAAGCCAGCTACCAGGCCTACCCTCTTGTTCAACCGATTGGTTCTCCTGCTCTGCCACCTTGTGCTCACCAGCTGACAACACACTCCAGTTCACTTCATGAAGTTATTTATCTGCACAAGTAAAATAAAGTCCTTCTGCCTTAAACTTTCTGAGACCATAATGTACACAGCAGTCTATGCCAAGGAATACAGCTGTAAACAGGACACATAAAAGCTGTACTACTGAAATCCTGTCTGTATTCTTGTGAAGGCCAAGAAGCCCATGATTATAGGTAGAGTTTTGAGTTCATAGCAATTCAAATCACCAGGTAAGAGCTGCAAAGTGAACATTTGTCACCACGGCTACCAGAGGCATTGTTCTGCTTCCAGTTCTTGTCCTCTGGGGCTGTCAAGCAGCATGTCCCAGGGCCCAGAGCAAGGAACACGCTATTAAGAACTTCCCTATCCTCTTACCAACTCTCATGCTGATTAGTATTTTAAATAAGCACATAACCACCCTCCGAGTCTCTTACTGACTTCACTCTAAAATGGATATGACACTTATTTCACCAGAGTGACAGGGCTTTGGTACAATTTCTGACAGCAGATGGGGCTTTAGAGATCTGCAAACTACATTACTTCAACAAGCTGACAGAAACACCTCTCCAAAGACCGGGTACACACTGGGAGCTTAGCAGAGTACATTCAACAGCAAGAAATCACGGCAATCCAAACAGCTTGAGAAGGCTTTCGCATTTATTAGCTTTTCGTATCATTTTCCCAGGCACATGAAAAATTTCTTCACTTTTTTCAGATTACTTGGGGATTTGCAGTTGCCAAAACTCTCTCATTACTGGCAAGCATCCTGAATGATCTGGAGCATGGCAAAGAAATTGTGCTTGCTAGCAAAAAAATCTTAGGAACCATACAATGTGGGAGTCAACCTGATAAACTCCTCAGTGCAGTAGGCCTGGCCTCATCAATCCTAGTGTACAAAGTCCAACCACAAAATACATCTGCTATGTAAAAACACTGCAGGAAGGACCCCGCTGCCTGGGGCTGGTACAGCAGGGCCAGGCAGAGCTGAGGTTCCCAGGATCCAGAAGGTGGAAGGTGTCACTGCTTTGCTGGCAGTCCTGCAGCTCACCTCCCACAGGGGACCTTGCACCACAGCACTGGGACCTGCACTGCATGGTGCTGCGGGGAGCAAACTGGCTCATCAGTCACCTTTAACCTGTGGAAAAACAGCCTCCAGCACAAATAAACTGTAATAAGATTATGATTATCATAAATTCCTGAGCTGGCCTTCCAAACACTGCTGCAGTATTTGTGTTTGGGATTCTCATAGAATGGTTTGGGTTGGAAGGGACCTTAAACCTCATCTAGTTACAATCCCTACCATGGGTTCTCTGCTCTGTCAGTTTAAAATAATTCCCCCTTGTCCTGTCCCTACAGACCCTTGTAGAAAGTCCCTCTCCAGCTTTCTTGTAAGCACCTTTAGGTATTCAAGATTGCTATAGCGTCTCCCTGGAGCCTTCTCTTCGCCAGGCTCAACCAGCCCAGCACTCTCAGCTTGGTTCCAGAGCAGAGCTGCTCCAGCCCTCGCAGCATCTCCATAGCCTCCTCTGGACTTGCTCCAACAGCTCCACGTCTCTCTTGTGTTGGGGGCCCCAGAGCTGGATGCAGCACTGCAAGGTGGGGGGGGGTGGAAGTTGTCTCACCAGAGTGCAACAGAGGGAGAGAATCCCCTCCCTCGACCTGCTGGTCACACTCTGGGGATGCAGCTCAGCACACGGGTGGTTTCTGGGCTGCAAATGCATATTTTTGGGTTAAGGTTCTCACCAACTAACAGCAGCAAGTCCTTCTCTCTCAACCCATTCTCTATCCTGTAGTTGTGCTTGGGAAGCAAGCAAAATTTCTCTAAGGATTAGGCCTCCTCCCTGCTTGGGAAGCATGCCTGGGTCAGGGCAGCAGACAGGAATGCTGCTACTCCCAACCACTTTGAATGTGAGCACAAGCTGGAGAGCCATTTACACTACTGCCTAGGGAATATGACAAACTGCTTGCATACAGAAGACCCTAAGTAACTGTTTCTGAGTAAAAATAAGCACTTAAGTATTGAAGGAACACATAGCTGTTTTCAATTTAAATTTCAATTTACATTAAATGGAAAAAAATATAATAAGAGGGCAATAACTGGTTTTCACTTAAGTAAGCCAGTTACCAGCACATTTGAATATTCTTCTTGTTTCTGGTGTGACTTTTATCAGCTGAATTTCTAGGCCTTATGGTACTTGCTTTCTTCAGAACTTGCACTGAGAACACGTTAAGAGTGAGCTCCTGCTGATACAGAGGTGACTTTGGTGAACCTGTCCCCTGTTCATCAGGCAGGCTGCCTTCTTCTGGCTGCCTACTCATATTGCTGTTGTCTCCCCCTCACAATGGGCAGATGTAAGCAGCTGGCGTGAGGGAATAGAGAGCTCAGCAAAAGCCATATTCTGAATTGCATCTACAAGAGCTTTTACGCCTCAGTAAACCAAAAAAGGCCATCCAGCTGATCTGACATTATTTTTTAGGAGTACCTAAGGCAAGTCCTTAGCAAAAACTGTCTGGGGTAAATGTAGGCTTATTCTGTCCTCTGTTACCTCATTTAATACCTAGTCCTGGGCTTCTTTAACCCACAAAAAAAGTTGCTTAAATGAGGCCTGGAAAAGGACACATAAATGACACCAGAGAGAAATAGACTGATCCATACAAATCTATTTGCTCAGTTTTAGTGTCACTGCTGTCTGATCCAGCAGACAAGACAAAGCTATTATGGGAAGGCAACAGGAGAGCATAAAAGGAAGGCGAGGCTGAGAGATCTGGGCTGGGTAGGGGTGCAATGGGAAAACTGCATTTGGTGGGACAACACTAAAGCCAAAAGGAACAGATGACAGATCCCAACCTTCAGTTCCTCAAGTTGAGATTCCACTGAAAAAAGGCTGGGAAACCACTGAGCTGCACCAGTGAGAAGAATCATGAAAAATATAACATTTTTAGGAGTGGTGAGGGCTCTGAGGAGTGCTTTACTTCTTTCACGAAAATTCAGCAGCTTAACCAGCCTCCTGATACAAACACACTTACAGGTTGATGTAGACAGCATATGGTACAAAGCTGAGTAATTGCTAGAGACTTGTTTGTCCTCACTAGCATGGAAGGTGTATTTCCTATTCCACAAAGAGACACCACATGTAGCTTTGAAAGGCACAGTGCAACTACACTGGCACTTGTTACTTGAACTTTGAAAACAGGACAAACCAAGAGTGAAAACTGGCATCTGGCTGAGGGGGAAGTGACACCTCCTTTCATTTCTTGTGCCACAGCTCATGACAGCAACACTGTACACAGCATTTGCACCCTCTGCTATGTCAGAGTATTCTCAATGTGTGTTATGGCAGGAAATACCTTTATGTCCATTGGGTAAAATGCTTACTGGAGTTCCAGGAAGAGACGGATTTTGATGCTAAGTACTGTAGTATTCTGTGACTGAAATATGACTTGCTTTGTATCAACAAAACAGGAAATACTTATGTCATTGCTAATCTGGTGGTTGCATTCTGGTGGTAGCCAATTTCTGTTTCTGGTTTTAATTATTTGCCTTGGTTCAGTCTTTCAATAATATATTGTTAAATAAAAACCTGAAATATGTTAACACTTAAGATGTTTTTGCTTATATTGCAGGTGCAACACTGAAGAATCAATTTTTAGATATGGATGCTGCCCCCTCAAGTGTAATATAGCTTGATATAGTTCCATGATGTACCGGTGTCAGAATCAATCAACGAGAATTTCAATCTAAAGATCCCAAAAGAGAAGATGCAACAGAAAATCATGCTGGTCTGTCTAACTAATAAAGTTAGGATCCCTGTAACCACACATCCCCAAAGCCATGTTTGCAGATGGGTTGTAACTAAACCAAACCAAACTTCCGCAGGATTTTGAAAGAAGTCATGCCATGACAGGGAGGTTTAAAAAGAAAGATAGCATATTTCTGACACATTGTGCCACACAACTGAAAATACCCCTCTATTATTAAAACACAAGTATGTGCAGAATGAGCATCCACTTGGGCAGTTGTTATGATGAAGAGGTAAAATTGTCTTCTGTTATACTAATTTTTCTTATATTTTAGATAAATGCTTTATATATTTTATGGCAACTGTTAACCACCTTAAAGCAACAAGGTTCTGGACTGTAGATTACATTTACTGCCTGGGGAAAGGTATTTTGTAAACATAGAAATGAAAATATCAGGAAGCATAATAGAGTATGCCCTATATTGTCCAAAGACATGTATTTACCACGTAGCAGAAATGACAAATAGGATAAACAGGAACACTTGAAAAATCTCCATTTAAAGATAACTTCTTTGATTCTGTGTTAAAGAAGAGAAAATACGCTGTTTATATCCATGATAATAACTGACTTCATATTATACAAAGTCTTCTTTACCAATTTAAAAACCAGACTCGGAGTACTCAGCGGGATACTTTGTTAACTCGGTTTTTGGGGGGTTTTGTGGCACCCTTGGAGCCAGTTAAATGGAGCAGTGATTATTTTCATACCCAGATCAAACCTCATCTTGGTGACCTGCTCTGAGAATAAACTGAAACAAGAACTGTGCTTTCCTGATGGACCTAGATGATCAAATGGTACCATCTCCCCGCAGTATGTTTAAGAGATCTTAACAACCTCCTCATCTAGTATCCTGCCTCAGACAGTGTTTAAAGATAGTATCTTTGCCCTGAGCTTTTCTGTATTGGGGGGAAAAGTGGAAGAAGGACTGATGGGGCTGGGGACTGAAGCAAGAGGAAAATAATTCCTTCATGACTCAACAGTGAGCTCACACCTTGGTAAAGAAGAATTAACTTTACTCCTAAAATTCACTGAAGCAGGGAGGAATTAATCTCATACAGCTTCATTCACTGAGCTAACAGCCTGTGCTATGTCTATAGTAAAGAGAAGGCAATAAGTAACTACACAGGTTGATGAAAGACCCTCCAGAAATATTCCACACTTTCTATTGACAATATGAGGTTTCCAGACAAATACCTTAGATCAGATGCCTGAATTCTGATGTCTGAAGTTGTTTTCTATCTTAAATCATTCATAATGCCAGGAATATATAACAACAGTATTTAAACGATGTCAGGATTTTAATGATGTCTGCAGAATCTGCATTTTAAAAAAGCATAATACACCAAGCCTATGATGATCTAAGATGAAATCATATCCCCCAGATATGGCATGCACTCTATGATTATCAAGAAGAAAGAGGTTCTCTCGCTAACACCCCAAGACTGCCAATACAAGTTGACTTTTAGAATGCTGTCAATTTACCACAAACATCTCCTGAAAATACAGATTATAGGCACCCAAGGCTATCTTCCATGGCACAAAACTATGTCTCTGAGGACTGCTAAGATCAGCCTAATCAGATAATAATAAACACAGGGCTTAACATTCCAGTGACAGAGTCTGTACAAAAACTAGCTGTTCCTCACACAAGTGATCCCTTTCCTTTTGTAATTACTACACTAACCTCCTTCACTACCCGCAACTCATCAACGTTCTCTTGCAACACAGTACGCAGAGCTTCAAGGGAGCTGAGACAGAATTTCTCAATCCTGTAGCATACTGCACATCTCTTCCCTGGATTTCAGGCTGAGTAACCAACATCATGGTGGAAAGGTAACAGGAGGAGAAAAGTCACTTTGCTGCCATGTAACAAAGGAGACAGTCTTTCAAAGGGCACTATCATTTCTCCCGCCTTAGAAGCACAGAACAACAAATGATTTTCTAACATTGCATATCTCCCCAACTGGGGTCCTCTTTCTCCTGGTGCTTCTCCCTCTAAGTCTTACACATCTCTCAGAGCAACCTAGTCCCTGCTGCTGCTTGCATTAAAAATATGCAGACCTCCTCTTCCTGTATTCTCTGCCCTTCACGTAGAGAAGCAAACAGCTCCTTTCTGTAGGACTACTTCTGCTCTCCTCACTAACTGGGCTCTAGGGCAGTGGTTCCATAGTGACACAAACCACAGGAACAAGGGCAGACAGGAAAGATTGGCTTTCATTCCTCTTATGCAGGCCCAACATTGACAGCCATGAATCCATGTATGAATATTCAACTTCTGATGCAGTGTGTAGCTGTGAGAACAAGTTTCTTCAGAATGCTTTCAGCCTAACATACTCTCATTCCCCTTCGGTATTAGATAGCTGGAAAGATATTTTTAAAAAGCTATATTCTGCTAAAGACATAAATCCTTGGCATTCCTTCTTTTAATGCAGCGTTCACTGGCGCTTCAGAGGTGTTTTAGGAACTCCCAGCACATAGACCAAGTACCCGAGTATCCTTAATAAAACTCCATTTACTGCTTTGAAAGGAGAGAATTCATCATTCACTCACCACTTTACAGAACTGGAGTAAAGATAAGCTCACGGTAGTATAAATGTCTGGAAAAATATAGGAAGAAATATCAGACCTACATGAACTGTCAGGTAAGTGTTCTTTCCAAAAACAAGGTATTAAAACTGCATTCAGGTACTCCAGTCAAATGTAAGTGATGTGAACTTGGCAACAAGTCCTACAGTAATATGTTGCTTCACTTACCATATTTCACTGTTCTAAGTAAGTCACAGCATTTGCAGTAAATGCACAGAATGCACAATAAAGTTGCAGGTAAACTGAGGGATATTTAAGAGAGAACAATGTTACACATTCTGGCTTCCACTTTATGAAAAGGATAAAGACCAGCTGCATTCTTGGATGGACAACGTACATGCATGGTACAGTCTGGTATATATACATATATGTGTGTATATATATATATACACACACCTGCATAACTAGTGTGTATACACACCTAAAAAGAGGATTTTTGCAAACTTATTAAGTTCAAGAATAGGAAAGAAATCTGAACCAGGCAGCATTGAAAAGTCTGAGTAGCAGATTAATAAAATGTTTAGTACATCTATGATTTATTATGTAACTAAAATACATACATTTATATGCTGTTTAATGTATTTTGTTAACTATTTTTCATATGTGCCATATCTGATGTACATATGCTTTATGTATTATATTTTAGGTACCATATTCTACATTACATATTAAAGTCACTTGGATTCGATGTTATGTTTGGCCTCTAATCAACATTACTTTATTGTTTCACATGACATTAATGAATCACGGTTTACCAGTACTGCACATTTGTTATTCAGAAAAAAAAAACCCTTCTGCCTATATCAGAAGCTCATAGAGGCAAAAGTCATTATTTCTCTATTCTTCTCTGTGTAGGAAAACCCAGCCTATCAGTCAATCAGCACTGGGAGATTCAGAATACCAAGATCAAAATACTACTGTAATCTTACCCTGAGGAAGTTAATAGAATATCAAGTGTGCGTGATTTGGAAAGTGGATTAGTTTCTAAACATAGCCACTTACTGCATTGAGAAGTGTCATATTTAAGAAGGGAAGTTCTGTCCTCTCTGAGGAATTAGTCCTGACCTAATTGTTTAACAGAAGCTCATCCCTACCTTTTACAGCATGCTTCATAAATTAGCTGGTTGACTCCTCAAAGAAAGTAGTAATTTCCAGGCACATCTTCAGGTGTCCCCTCTTCATAAGTCTCAACTGTCTGAAGAAATAAAGAAAATAAATTAAATCTGGCACAAGAGTGCTCAGACTAGAGTTTGAAGCTTTAGGCCAACTAAGTGTATAAGCACATTATATGTGCCTTGTCTTTTTAACTGTGGGAAACTATTTGATTAAAAGGATGTTTACAACTAATTCAACATTTCAGCAAGATAAAGATGCATCAATTCAAGTTGAAAAAACACACTTCTCAAGTCAGTTTTCTATAGCCATGTTTTAAATGTATCTATACAACTCTCATCTTTATGAATATGTTAGTACAACACAGTAAGTTACGTCAATTATTACCACAATGGGACTATTGAAAATAACGTTATTACACTACTATAGAACTATTGTTAACCTGTATTCTACCATTTTTTCAGGTTCACTTATATTCAGACATACAGTGCAAGTGACACCTGATCTTCTATGCCATTGTAGTGTATTTTCTAATTAGGGAACTTCAAACTGACTGTGTGGTGCTGAGCACCACTGCATTTCCACTTGACAGTCAATTCAGGACCCTAAACAGTAACTTCAGTCTTATATTGATATTTAAATGGATTCACTCATAGACATCTGTCACTCAACTACAAGGCCTTTTTAAAGTAACACTTAATGTTAGTACAATTGTACCCATGCATTAATGTTTTCAAGGGGAAAACTGCAGGAAGGGGAGAACTGCAGAAAGGGAAAGAAGAAAGCCAATCTCCCATGGTGGAACACCAATACACTGAAAGCTGGTACAACCTGAGATGCATTAGTTATCATTCCAATACAAGAACTAAACAACACCTTCCTGTGAGCCTTTAGCAGGAGCTGAGAACCACCATCATCTACAAAAACAATTAACAACAGTCATGAGAACAAAAAATGAGAGGGCCCCAGTCCAATTAACAATACATTAAGGAGCACTGTCCTTGTGGAACAAAGGACACCGCGCAGCAGCAATGCTCCTGGGGCAACCACCAATTCTTAGTGCCTCTCGGTATCAGCCTCGGGCCAAACAACCCTGTTCCTTTCCGCTCCTCTGGAATTACCTGCGCGGCTCCTGTAGCTCCCGACCCTCAAGCAGCCGCCGCCGCTCCTCAGCGGGGCGCAGCCTCCACCGGGCACGGCAGCGAGGCGGACGCGGGTGGCGGCACGCGCAGGGCTGTGGTGCAGCTGTCCCCTCAGCACCTTTCCTACAGCGGCGCGGCCCAAGGGTCCTGCCCGCCGCGGGGTTGCTCTGAGAGGGGAACCGGCGACCCTCACCGTGGAGTGACGGCCCGGCTGGAACGGAGGCCGAGTCCCCATGGCTGGTGGAAGCTACAGAAGGACATGGACGTGCCGAGCTGCTTTTCCCGCCCAGCCCTCGAGAGATGATGCAGCCTCAAGATGGCGGCAGCAGTGGCAGCAGGGCCATTTATCCGCCCGCCTTCCTGTGGACAGGACGGTGCGGCCTGATGAAGGTGGTGCTGGTGGAAGGGGGTTGGGCTTCTTACAGATCCTTCAGAAAAGATGCTTCAGGGATTCTTCAGGAAAGCAGTAGGGAATTATTCTGGAAGGCTCCGTGAGGGGTACAGCACTGGGCTGTGGTAAGGTTCTTGGGACACAGGCGAGCATCTATGGCAGATTGTTTTATTTTTCTCAGGTATCCTTGGCAATCAGCAAACTTCAGGGCCCTGCTTTGGTGTGCCCAGGGTTGGGGCACGAGGGCTGCATGGGGTAGCTGAGGGTGGAGCAGGCCGGGAGATAAAATGGGGTGCGGTTTCTGGCTTCAAGCAACAAGTGTGAAACCCCTCTCCTGACTTACATAGCAAATGTTTCAAAGCTATCTAAAATTGAGAAAACCAAACATGCATTTGCGTCCATTCCTCACCAAATCCCAGTGCCCTTCGATTAGCTAGAAGCAAGGATGAATGCTGGAGCAGGTGTCCAGAGGTATCCAGAGAAGACTAATGCAGGGTGTTTACATCCTGCTATGAAGTGGAATAGTCCTTC